CTTATATACCGTCGTGGTGGTGTACTTCCCTTATATACCGTCGTGGTGGTGTACTTCCCTCATATACCGTCGTGGTGGGGTACTTCCCTTATATACCGTCGTGGTGGTGTACTTCCCTTATATACCGTCGTGGTGGTGTACTTCCCTAATATACCGTCGTGGTGGTGTACTTCCCTTATATACCGTCGTGGTGGTGTACTTCCCTTATATACCGTCGTGGTGGTGTACTTCCCTCATATACCGTCGTGGTGGTGTACTTCCCTTATATACCGTCGTGGTGGTGTACTTCCCTCATATACCGTCGTGGTGGTGTACTTCCCTCATATACCGTCGTGGTGGTGTACTTCCCTTATATACCGTCGTGGTGGTGTACTTCCCTCATATACCGTCGTGGTGGTGTACTTCCCTTATATACCGTCGTGGTGGTGTACTTCCCTTATATACCGTCGTGGTGGTGTACTTCCCTTATATACCGTCGTGGTGGGGTACTTCCCTCATATACCGTCGTGGTGGTGTACTTCCCTTATATACCGTCGTGGTGGTGTACTTCCCTTATATACCGTCCCCTCATATACCGTCGTGGTGGTGTACTTCCCTTATATACCGTCGTGGTGGTGTACTTCCCTCATATACCGTCGTGGTGGTGTACTTCCCTTATATACCGTCGTGCTCGGGTACTTCCCTTATATGCCGTCGTGGTGGTGTACTTCCCTTATATACCGTCGTAGTGGTGTACTTCCCTTATATACCGTCGTGCTCGGGTACTTCCCTTATATACCGTCGTGGTGGTGTACTTCCCTTATATACCGTCGTGATGGGGTACTTCCCTTATATACCGTCGTGGTGGTGTACTTCCCTTATATACCGTCGTGGTGGTGTACTTCCCTTATATACCGTCGTGGTGGTGTACTTCCCTCATATACCGTCGTGGTGGGGTACTTCCCTTATATACCGTCGTGGTGGTGTACTTCCCTCATATACCGTCGTGGTGGTGTACTTCCCTTATATACCGTTGTGGTGGGGTACTTCCCTTGTATACCGTCGTGGTGGTGTACTTCCCTTATATACCGTCGTGGTGGTGTACTTCCCTTATATACTTCCCTCATATACCGTCGTGGTGGTGTACTTCCCTCATATACCGTCGTGGTGGTGTACTTCCCTCATATACCGTCGTGGTGGTGTACTTCCCTTATATACCGTCGTGATGGTGGTACTTCCCTTATATACCGTCGTGGTGGTGTACTTCCCTTATATACCGTCGTGGTGGTGTACTTCCCTTATATACCGTCGTGGTGGTGTACTTCCCTTATATACCGTCGTGGTGGTGTACTTCCCTCATATACCGTCGTGGTGGGGTACTTCCCTTATATACCGTCGTGGTGGTGTACTTCCCTCATATACCGTCGTGGTGGTGTACTTCCCTTATATACCGTTGTGGTGGGGTACTTCCCTTGTATACCGTCGTGGTGGTGTACTTCCCTTATATACCGTCGTGGTGGTGTACTTCCCTTATATACCGTCGTGGTGGTGTACTTCCCTCATATACCGTCGTGGTGGTGTACTTCCCTCATATACCGTCGTGGTGGTGTACTTCCCTTATATACCGTCGTGATGGGGTACTTCCCTTATATACCGTCGTGGTGGTGTACTTCCCTTATATACCGTCGTGGTGGTGTACTTCATTTATATACCGTCGTGGTGGTGTACTTCCCTCATATACCGTCGTGGTGGGGTACTTCCCTTATATACCGTCGTGGTGGTGTACTTCCCTCATATACCGTCGTGGTGGTGTACTTCCCTTATATACCGTCGTGGTGGGGTACTTCCCTTATATACCGTCGTGGTGGTGTACTTCCCTCATATACCGTCGTGGTGGGGTACTTCCCTTATATACCGTCGTGGTGGGGTACTTCCCTTATATACCGTCGTGTTGGTGTACTTCCCTCATATACCGTCGTGGTGGTGTACTTCCCTTATATACCGTTGTGGTGGGGTACTTCCCTTATATACCGTCGTGGTGGTGTACTTCCCTTATATACCGTCGTGGTGGTGTACTTCCCTCATATACCGTCGTGGTGGTGTACTTCCCTTATATACCGTCGTGGTGGTGTACTTCCCTCATATACCGTCGTGGTGGTGTACTTCCCTCATATACCGTCGTGGTGGTGTACTTCCCTTATATACCGTCGTGGTGGTGTACTTCCCTCATATACCGTCGTGGTGGTGTACTTCCCTTATATACCGTCGTGGTGGTGTACTTCCCTCATATACCGTCGTGGTGGTGTACTTCCCTTATATACCGTCGTGGTGGTGTACTTCCCTCATATACCGTCGTGGTGGGGTACTTCCCTCATATACCGTCGTGGTGGTGTACTTCCCTTATATACCGTCGTGGTGGTGTACTTCCCTTATATACCGTCGTGGTGGTGTACTTCCCTTATATACCGTCGTGGTGGTGTACTTCCCTCATATACCGTCGTGGTGGTGTACTTCCCTTATATACCGTCGTGGTGGTGTACTTCCCTCATATACCGTCGTGGTGGTGTACTTCCCTCATATACCGTCGTGGTGGTGTACTTCCCTTATATACCGTCGTGGTGGTGTACTTCCCTCATATACCGTCGTGGTGGTGTACTTCCCTTATATACCGTCGTGGTGGTGTACTTCCCTCATATACCGTCGTGGTGGTGTACTTCCCTTATATACCGTCGTGGTGGTGTACTTCCCTCATATACCGTCGTGGTGGGGTACTTCCCTCATATACCGTCGTGGTGGTGTACTTCCCTTATATACCGTCGTGGTGGTGTACTTCCCTTATATACCGTCGTGGTGGTGTACTTCCCTTATATACCGTCGTGGTGGTGTACTTCCCTTATATACCGTCGTGGTGGTGTACTTCCCTTATATACCGTCGTGGTGGTGTACTTCCCTTATATACCGTCGTGGTCGGGTACTCCAATCCCTGAGCTCGGCGCCCGCCGATGACGTCTCAATAAGATTAACGTTGATTGGCCGAGCGCCTGGCCCGCTATCAACTCATACCTCTGGTTACCTGACCGTGAGGCCGGAGTTCTCTGATGTCTTGCCTGCCGCCCACACCCTGTTTATTCTTGGTTTCTGACCCTTTTCTAGCATGGTATATATACCTTAAGTACCACCCAAACAGGAGGACGGGCTGGGTGTATGTACCTGGGTGTTTGACGGGGTGTACCCCAGGGAGTAAGGGTGTACCCCAGGGTGTAAGGGTGTACCCCAGGGAGTAAGGGTGTACCCCAGGGTGTAAGGGTGTACCCCAGGGAGTAAGGGTGTACCCCAGGGAGTAAGGGTGTACCCCAGGGAGTAAGGGTGTACCCCAGGGAGTAAGGGTGTACCCCAGGGTGTAAGGGTGTACCCCAGGGTGTAAGGGTGTACCCCAGGGTGTAAGGGTGTACCCCAGGGAGTAAGGGTGTACCCAGGGAGTAAGGGTGTACCCCAGGGAGTAAGGGTGTACCCCAGTGAGTAAGGGTGTACCCCAGTGAGTAAGGGTGTACCCTAGGGAGTAAGGGTGTACCCCAGGGAGTAAGGGTGTACCCCAGTGAGTAAGGGTGTACCCCAGTGAGTAAGGGTGTACCCCAGTGAGTAAGGGTGTACCCTAGGGAGTAAGGGTGTACCCCAGGGAGTAAGGGTGTACCCCAGTGAGTAAGGGTGTACCCCAGGGAGTAAGGGTGTACCCCAGGGAGTAAGGGTGTACCCCAGTGAGTAAGGGTGTAACCCAGGGAGTAAGGGTGTACCCCAGGGAGTAAGGGTGTACCCCAGGGAGTAAGGGTGTACCCCAGGGTGTAAGGGTGTACCCCAGTGAGTAAGGGTGTACCCCAGGGAGTAAGGGTATACCCCAGGGAGTAAGGTATACCCCAGGGAGTAAGGGTGTAACCCAGGGAGTAAGGGTGTACCCCAGGGAGTAAGGGTGTAACCCAGGGTGTAAGGGTGTACCCCAGGGTGTAAGGGTGTACCCAGGGAGTAAGGTATACCCCAGGGAGTAAGGTATACCCCAGGGAGTAAGGTATACCCCAGGGAATAAGGCTGTACCCCAGGTAGTATGGTATACCACAGGGAGCAAGGTATACCCCAGGATGTAAGGCTGTACCTCAGGTAGTATGGTATACCCCAGGGAGTAAGGTATACCCCAGGGAGTAAGGTATACCCCAGGGAGTAAGGTATACCCCAGGGAGTAAGGCTGTACCCCAGGTAGTATGGTATACCCCAGGGAGTAAGGCTGTACCCCAGGTAGTATGGTATACCCCAGGGAGTAAGGCTGTACCCCAGGTAGTATGGTATACCCAGGGAGTAAGGTATACCCCAGGGAGTAAGGTATACCCCAGGGAGTAAGGTATATCCCAGGGAGTAAGGTATACCCCAGGGAGTAAGGTATACCCCAGGGAGTAAGGTATACCCCAGGGAGTAAGGCTGTACCCCAGGTAGTATGGTATACCCCAGGTAGTATGGTATACCCTAGGGAGTAAGGTATACCCCAGGGAGTAAGGTATACCCCAGGGAGTAAGGTATACCCCAGGGAGTAAGGTATACCCCAGGGAGTAAGGTATATCCCAGGGAGTAAGGTATACCCCAGGGAGTAAGGTATACCCCAGGGAGTAAGGTATACCCCAGGGAGTAAGGCTGTACCCCAGGTAGTATGGTATACCCCAGGTAGTATGGTATACCCTAGGGAGTAAGGTATACCCCAGGGAGTAAGGTATACCCTAGGGAGTAAGGTATACCCCAGGGAGTAAGGTATACCCCAGGTAGTATGGTATACCCCAGGGAGTAAGGTATACCCCAGGGAGTAAGGGTGTTAAGGGTGTTAACCAACTAACCTATCTAATAGTTATATATGCCCATAAAAACAAAAAGACGTGGGGTTTAAGTCGGATAATTAGCAGTGAGGTAGAATCACTGTTGGCCTATCGCTTCGTCTCCCGCACCTGCCTCGTCAAGGAGAACGGGAACCATAAGGCGGGGAACATTCAGCCTGCGAACGGCGCTGTGTAGTCTGACGCGAACGGCGCTGTGTAGGCTGACGCGAACGGCGCTGTGTAGTCTGACGCGAACGGCGCTGTGTAGTCTGACGCGAACGGCGCTGTGTAGTCTGACGCGAACGGCGCTGTGTAGTCTGACGCGAACGGCGCTGTGTAGTCTGACGCGAACGGCGCTGTGTAGTCTGACGCGAACGGCGCTGTGTAGGCTGACGCGAACGGCGCTGTGTAGTCTGACGCGAACGGCGCTGTGTAGTCTGACGCGAACGGCGCTGTGTAGTCTGACGCGAACGGCGCTGTGTAGTCTGACGCGAACGGCGCTGTGTAGACTGACGCGAACGGCGCTGTGTAGGCTGACGCGAACGGCGCTGTGTAGTCTGACGCGAACGGCGCTGTGTAGTCTGACGCGAACGGCGCTGCGTAGTCTGACGCGAACGGCGCTGTGTAGTCTGACGCGAACGGCGCTGTGTAGTCTGACGCGAACGGCGCTGTGTAGGCTGACGCGAACGGCGCTGTGTAGTCTGACGCGAACGGCGCTGTGTAGTCTGACGCGAACGGCGCTGTGTAGTCTGACGCGAACGGCGCTGTGTAGTCTGACGCGAGCGCTAGGAAACTTAGGGCAGTGAAGACGGTGTTCCACTGTATCCTCCTGGGTCGGACACCACTGGCAGTATGGGGAACGTACCAGATGTGCGGCCAGGCAGGTGTGTCCAAACCAGACACGAGTGGTGGCAGTGTTGAGGAGTCGAGCATGATGACAAGTCCATGGTCGCTGGGAGGAGCCCTCCAGGTGGTGTGTGCCAGGTGGTGTGTGCCAGGTGGTGTGTGCCAGGTGGTGTGTGCCAGGTGGTGTGTGCCAGGTGGTGTGTGCCAGGTGGTGTGTGCCAGGTGGTGTGTGCCATGTGGTGTGTGTCAGGTGGTGTGTGTCAGGTGGTGTGTGCCATGTGGTGTGTGCCATGTGGTGTGTGTCAGGTGGTGTGTGCCAGGTGGTGTGTGCCAGGTGGTGTGTGCCAGGTGGTGTGTGCCAGGTGGTGTGTGCCAGGTGGTGTGTGCCATGTGGTGTGTGTCAGGTGGTGTGTGTCAGGTGGTGTGTGCCATGTGGTGTGTGTCAGGTGGTGTGTGCCAGGTGGTGTGTGCCAGGTGGTGTGTGCCAGGTGGTGTGTGCCAGGTGGTGTGTGCCATGTGGTGTGTGTCAGGTGGTGTGTGTCAGGTGGTGTGTCAGGTGGTGTGTGCCATGTGGTGTGTGTCAGGTGGTGTGTGTCAGGTGGTGTGTGCCATGTGGTGTGTGTCAGGTGGTGTGTGCCAGGTGGTGTGTGCCAGGTGGTGTGTGCCAGGTGGTGTGTGCCAGGTGGTGTGTGCCATGTGGTGTGTGTCAGGTGGTGTGTGTCAGGTGGTGTGTGCCATGTGGTGTGTGTCAGGTGGTGTGTGCCAGGTGGTGTGTGCCAGGTGGTGCCCGTGATAGCACCAATGAGGTAACTCCTGGCACCTGGGCCGTCAGGTGAGGGCGGCACGTTAATATTCTGGTGTATGCGCGCACGCACGCACTCAACACAGCCCAACACGCACACCAATACGTGACGCCAGACACGCAGCTGTCACTCATCCTGTGAGTGGACACACCGCCATAGTGACAGTATTGGGCAGCGCCACTCATCCTGTGAGTGGACACACCGCCATAGTGACAGTATTGGGCAGCGTCACTCATCCTGTGAGTGGACACACCGCCATAGTGACAGTATTGGGCAGCGCCACTCTTCCTGTGAGTGGACACACCGCCATAGTGACAGTATTGGGCAGCGTCACTCATCCTGTGAGTGGACACACCGCCATAGTGACAGTATTGGGCAGCGCCACTCATCCTGTGAGTGGACACACCGCCATAGTGACAGTATTGGGCAGCGCCACTCATCCTGTGAGTGGACACACCGCCATAGTGACAGTATTGGGCAGCGCCACTCATCCTGTGAGTGGACACACCACCATAGTGACAGTATTGGGCAGCGCCACTCATCCTGTGAGTGGACACACCGCCATAGTGACAGTATTGGGCAGCGTCACTCATCCTGTGAGTGGACACACCGCCATAGTGACAGTATTGGGCAGCACCACTCATCTTGTGAGTGGACACACCGCCATAGTGACAGTATTGGGCAGCGCCACTCATCCTGTGAGTGGACACACCGCCATAGTGACAGTATTGGGCAGCGCCACTCATCCTGTGAGTGACACACCGCCATAGTGACAGTATTGGGCAGCGCCACTCATCCTGTGAGTGGACACACCGCCATAGTGACAGTATTGGGCAGCGCCACTCATTCTGTGAGTGGACACACCGCCATAGTGACAGTATTGGGCAGCGCCACTCATCTTGTGAGTGGACACACCGTCATAGCAGCATGTACAACACTCCCCAATAGGAAGAAAACCCGCTGGGTTGTTCATCCTGTCACTTGTTCCCTGACACAGCTGGGACTTGCTTAACTGTCTCAAGTGAACAGCTCCTCAAACAAGAAGATTAACATCTGTCAACCCTTAAAAGCTTACATTATCTTGCGGGTGCAAAATGGGGGAATCTTTTACTTTTGAGAATAACTCAAACAATGTGGGATTTATTATTCTACACATACTTCTAATGTCTCTCAGGTGTTCACATTCACGTAGATAGTGGTCAAGGCGGTGTCCGTCACTCTCACCACAGATTCTGCAACTCCGCTGATCAACTGTCGTTTCCATTCCATATCTCCATGGATATTTGTATCCATGACGGATTCTCGCTATTACTGATTCTCTCCCTCGTCCTCCTCCTCTTCGGCCATAATGATTGGGATTGCCAGTGGGGACGTCAGAAGGCGGGTGCTGACGTCAGGAGACGGGTGGTGACGTCAGGAGGCGGGTGGTGACGTCAGAAGGCGGGTGGTGACGTCAGGAGGCGGGTGGTGACGTCAGAAGGCGGGTGGTGACGTCAGGAGGCGGGTGCTGACGTCAGGAGACGGGTGGTGACGTCAGGAGGCGGGTGGTGACGTCAGGAGACGGGTGGGGACGTCAGGAGACGGGTGTTGACGTCAGGAGACGGGTGTTGACGTCAGGAGGCGGGTGGCGACGTCAGGAGGCTGGTGGTGACGTCAGGAGGCGGGTGGTGACGCCAGGAGGCGGGTGGTGACGTCAGGAGGGGGTGGTGACGTCAGGAGGCGGGTGGTGACGTCAGGAGGCGGGTGGAGACGTCAGGAGGCGGGTGGAGACGTCAGGAGGCGGGTGGAGACGTCAGGAGGCGGGTGGTGACGTCAGGAGGCGGGTGGTGACGTCAGAAGGCGGGTGGTGACGTCAGGAGGCGGGTGGCGACGTCAGGCCGCGGGTGGTGACGTCAGGAGACGGGTGGTGACGTCAGGAGATGGGGGGCGACATCAGGAGGCGGGTGGCGACGTCAGGCCGCGGGTGGCGACATCAGGCCGCGGGTGGTGACGTCAGGAGGCGGGTGGTGACGTCATAAGAGCATGCGTGACGTCACAGCTAGGCTCCGCCCCCACCACACAGCTGCCAAATATCCAAGTTTTAACAAGAATCAACAATTTGCCCCAAGAATCACAAGACGAGAACAGCGCCGCACTGACAAGAATGTTGTGCAATAAATGCTGCAACAACAATAATAATATCAATACGAATATCAGATGAGCACCAGTTTGATATTTTTTGTCTCCAATCTGATATATCTAATTTTAAATTACGGAGCTTCAAGAGGATACACCGACACCCGTACACTGCTTCTGGTGTGGGCACCTGTGGAGCACCAGACCTGTGGGCACCACTGGAGCACCAGACCTGTGAGCACCTCTGGAGTGCCAGACCTGTGGGCACCTCTGGAGTACCAGACCTGTGGGCACCACTGGAGCACCAGACCTGTGGAGCACCAGACCTGTGGGCACCACTGGAGCACCAGACCTGTGAGCACCTCTGGAGTACCAGACCTGTGGGCACCTCTGGAGTACCAGACCTGTGGGCACCACTGGAGCACCAGACCTGTGGGCACCTGTGGACACCTGTGGGCACCTGTGGAGCACCAGACCTGTGGGCACCTGTGGAGCACCAGACCTGTGGACACCTGTGGAGCACCAGACCTGTGGGCACCTGTGGAGCACCAGACCTGTGGGCACCTGTGGAGCACCAGACCTGTGAGCACCTCTGGAGTACCAGACCTGTGGGCACCTCTGGAGTACCAGACCTGTGGGCACCTGTGGGCACCACTGGAGCACCAGACCTGTGAGCACCTCTGGAGTACCAGACCTGTGGGCACCTGTGGAGCACCAGACCTGTGGGCACCTGTGGAGCACCAGACCTGTAGACACCTGTGGGCACCTGTGGAGCACCAGACCTGTGGGCACCTGTGGAGCACCAGACCTGTGGGCATCTGTGGAGCACCAGACCTGTGGGCACCTGTAGAGCACCAGACCTGTGGACACCTGTGGAGCACCAGACCTGTGGGCATCTGTGGAGCACCAGACCTGTGGGCATCTGTGCAGCACCAGACCTGTGGGTACCTGTGGAGCACCAGACCTGTGGGCACCTGTAGAGCACCAGACCTGTGGGCACCTGTGGAGCACCAGACCTGTGGGCATCTGTGGAGCACCAGACCTGTGGGCACCTGTGGAGCACCAGACCTGTGGGCATCTGTGGAGCACCAGACCTGTGGGCACCTGTGGAGCACCAGACCTGTGGACACCTGTGGAGCACCAGACCTGTGGACACCTGTGGAGCACCAGACCTGTGGGCATCTGTGGAGCACCAGACCTGTGGGCATCTGTGGAGCACCAGACCTGTGGGCACCTGTGGAGCACCAGACCTGTGGGCACCTGTGGAGCACCAGACCTGTGGACACCTGTGGAGCACCAGACCTGTGGGCACCTGTGGAGCACCAGACCTGTGGGCACCTGTGGAGCACCAGACCTGTGGGCATCTGTGGAGCACCAGACCTGTGGACACCTGTGGGCATCTGTGGAGCACCAGACCTGTGGGCACCTGTGGAGCACCAGACCTGTGGGCATCTGTGGAGCACCAGACCTGTGGGCACCTGTGGAGCACCAGACCTGTGGGCACCTGTGGAGCACCAGACCTGTGGACACCTGTGGAGCACCAGACCTGTGGGCACCTGTGGACACCTGTGGAGCACCAGACCTGTGGGCACCTGTGGACCACCAGACCTGTGGGCACTTGTGGAGCACCAGACCTATGGGCTCCTGTGGAGCACCACACCTGTGGGCACCTGTAGAGCACCAGACCTGTAGGCACCACTGGAGCACCAGACCTGTGGGCACCTGTGGAGCACCAGACCTGTGGGCACCACTGGAGCACCAGACCTGTGGGCACCTGTGGAGCACCAGACCTGTGGGCACCACTGGAGCACCAGACCTGTGAGCACCTCTGGAGTACCAGACCTGTGAGCACCTCTGGAGTACAAGACCTGTGGGCACCTCTGGAGTACCAGACCTGTGGGCACCTGTGGAGCACCAGACCTGTGGGCACCACTGGAGCACCAGACCTGTGAGCACCTCTGGAGTACCAGACCTGTGGGCACCTGTGGAGCACCAGACCTGTGGGCACCTGTGGAGCACCAGACCTGTGGGCACCTGTGGAGCACCAGACCTGTGGGCACCTGTGGAGCACCAGACCTGTGGGCACCTGTGGACACCTGTGGAGCACCAGACCTGTGGGCACCTGTGGAGCACCAGACCTGTGGGCACCTGTGGAGCACCAGACCTGTG